TGAGGCAGAACATCGTCATGTTGGTTCAAATAGTATCAACTTGTTGGGCAGCACAAGTCACACAATATTTACCCAAGGGTACATCTTCAATCTTGTGAACATCCCATTTTTTTTAATTCATGATCCTCTCAATGTTCTTTAGATACTTTTACTCTTACATATCTCCTTGCTATGCATTTTAATATTTGATCTCAACTATTGTTTGTTTGCAGATGATCAAAAGTAGAGCTCATGGACACCAATATGATGGAGTTATTTTTTCTGAGCTAGTAAGGGCTTCCTTCTCTTTCATTGCATAAGATCTCTCGTCTTATAGACAACTCTCTATAGTGTCTCTTTCTTTCTTAGAGTTTGATTGACTTAGCTGGATCTGAGAGTTCCACGAGTTCCGAAACTAAGATAACGGGATTGAGGAGGAAAGAGGGTGCATACATCAACAATAGTCTTCTGACTCTTGGAACTGTAGGTGTCTCTCTCTCTGTTTAAGCTTCATTTTAATTTTTTAGATATATCATTCAATAATTCTATGATGTAAATAATATCTGTGATAGTATAATGCAAAACTGCCTTAGAAGAACAACCTGGTTCGTTACCAAATCCGATTTGGTGGCACTTGAGGCTCAGAAAAGAATCTTCAATGCACTGATCTAGTAGTGCTAATGTATCTTGGTGATTAATGCCTTTAATTTCTGAGAATTCTGTTCCCTTTTTGTGTCCTTAGGTCAAAGATAACATCTTTAGTCACCTAACCATTGAGATGAATCTTGAGGATGTTTTGATTATAAACTATCTCTTATGGTTTCCATATGTAGGTGATTGGAAAACTGTCTGACGGCAGGACAACTCATGTCCCATTTCGAGACTCTACGCTAACTTGTCTTCTCCAATCTTCATTGTGTGGGCACTAGCATATATCGGTACGACATTTCTGTATCTAATGAATACTTCCCATTTCAGTGTAGTGGTTTTCCCACGGTTGATTGTCTCAAATAGTTTAATTATGATGTCTAGCATATTTAAGTTTTGTTTATATTGGCTATATATTATACGATGTGATGGTGTATTAGCTAAGAAGGGGTGTGCGTGCTAGTTGGTGTCAGTCACGAAGAGTTATTGAGCCCGAAGCAACATGTTTTGACCTCTCTGAGACCTTATTATTTCATGAATGTTTGAATTTATTCATATTTGGTGGATAAATAGAACTATCAATTTATTAAACAGCTACAAGAAGGTCAAGTGAAAATGCAATCGAGATTGGACGATGAAAAAGAAGCTAAAACAGTTCTACTGAGTGGCAGATCATATGATAAGTTAGAAAAGGTTCAAGAAACTTATTGAGTTCGATACCCCTCAGAATATTATCTACTTGCACCTTAATTAGCTCTTATGGATGTCGTTAATATTCTTTTTTGAGGTTATGTTTATTTTCATCTCTGTTTAGTTATTGGAGGAAGAAGAAGAAGCTAAAGCAGCCCTAAATGAGTAGAATCGAAAAGCTTACAAAGTTGATACACGTCTCTACCAAGAATTATATTCATGGATATATAGGTGATACACCGGCTTACCTACGCAACATTGTGGACACAATATGCATCAGCTAAAGGTATTAAAATTTCTTTGTTGTTCTCAGAAAGTTTTGAATTTGATGCATGACACAATGCAATGAGAAGAGCTTTGAGATGGAGGTAAAATGTTTCTATAGAATGAAATGTCTTCTTCTATAGCGAAAATGAAGATTTCTCAAATACAATGTATATTTATTGTAGTGGCTTGGACATGCTTCAGCTTCATGCGGTTGCAGCTGATGAGACAAACACCAAGTGCATACGAGAACTACAGAAAATCAGGAAGATACTTTGATATAGTGTACCATGAGAATGCTCGATCCCTTCCCCATTATCAGAACATATACCAGATTGAATAAGTATGCTTCTCTTAATATGTGTAGACATCTATACATATGATCTCACATACTAATCTGTCCTTGAAAATTTCTATGCAGTCATTTCTCCAAAGTCGTCTCTCAGTTCAACATATGAACGACGAGATCTATCGGACTAATTAGCAATGATAAGAGCATTACTGTTTTTCGTCTTCAATTAGTAATCATCTTAGCTACGTTTTTCAGGAATAAGGCAAACTTAAGCGGTCCGGATGAAGTTCAAGGATGTCGCGTATGGAAGAACTGAAAAGTATCAATGAGGTCAAATGTAAAATGGCTTGCAGTTCCTCCAAGGTAAAATACTGTCTTGTGACCCTAAGAAACCCAAAATGCCTAGCTTCTTCATTTTTTCTATTCACAGGTATTAAAACTTTGAAAACTAAAAACATTCAGATTCAATCTCAAATATTTTCTAACTACATTAGTTGTTTTGTATACAACTATATAGCAAAGACGCAAGAAAGAGTTTGTCAGAAGAGCATTCAGGAAAAGTTCATTTTTAAGAAAAGAAAAGTTTATAATTATAGTGTAAACAGAATTTGGTGATGATATTGATAATTATAGTGTAAGAAAAGTTTGAGATATTGACTATTGCTCTTTCTTTCAGGTTTACTATTTACTCATATTGAATTTACAAACACAATAAGGACTAGCCTGACTTGGAGAAAGAAGAATATCTTTCAAGCTTCGAAAAATAGGTTATATAGCCACCATGAGAAAAGAAAACAGAATTTGGTGATGATATTGATGATTATAGTTCAAGAAAATTTTGAGATATTGAACAAACAGACTCCGATAGTCCGATGTATTTAAAGGAAAAGAGAGATATGATTTAAGACTTAGTACCGGAAGAAAACGTATGTATGTGAGATGGTGGCAGAGGTATTATCGCAGTAAGGTAAATTTCTTAGGCTTTTTGGTCATGATTCATGAAATACTTGGCTTCTATCTAGGCTAGGCCATAACCTAAACCTGGGCTATAATATACTTTGTTTCATATCTTGAACAGATCAAAGGCAGGAAGTCATTGATTA